ACCGCTTTTTCGAGCATCAAAGGCCTCCATCGTGTATCGCATGATTTCACCTGCAGGAACGGAGGAAAGCTTTCGCATAGGATTTAGGGTTTAGGGTTTAGGGTTTGAGGTCAACATCTACCTCTCAGCATAGAGCCCACATTCCATCGAAGCCCTAAGAGCATTAGAATAGTACCAGCACCAGCAACGTGCTTAGTAAGTGTAGTCGCGATCTTCACCAGGAATCAACGTAGCCATCCTAGTTAACCCCGCAGCCTGAACGGAACCCCAAACCCTAAACCTGAAGCCCTAAACCCATGCTTAAGCTCCACTTGGGCCCCCCTCCCTACTATACCCCTCCTCCTTCCCAGACCCCCGAAAGGATCTAGAAAGTAGATCCCCTAATTTGGAACCGTTTACTACTAAGGGGTCTTTTTTTGGGAACCCCTTTCAGGGATCTACTTTTGGATCCTGCCGGAGGCCTGAGTTCAAGTTAAGCCCTAAGCCCTAGACCTTAAACCCCAAACCCCTAAGCCCCTAAACCCCTAAACCCCTAAGCCCCTCAATCCTAAACCCTGGACCCAAGGTTCGTGACCGAGTGGAACGAAGCTTCTGAGAAGGCGTGGGGTCGCATTCGCCGTTGGGAGACGGCGATGATTCCTGCAGATCCCTCCGGATCCATCGTCTACGAGGATTTTCGATTTCTGGGCTTTTGCTTTTGCTTTTGGGTTTTGGGTTTAGGGTTTAGGGGGGTTTAGGGTTTGAGATTTTCTCGGGTTTGGGGCATTTTGGTTTGGGAGGAGGACGCTGTGGAAACCCACGTGCTTCACAGCATGGCTAATACTTAACACTAGATTTGGGTTCAGGGGTCAGGGTTTAGGGTTTCAGGTTGAGGGTCGATGGATTCGGGTTTGGGGCTTAGGGTGGACAGGCGCAAGCTACAGGATAGGGTCTACTTAATCGAGCTTAAGGTCGAGGCCCCAGGGGAGCTCACGGTGTATGGTTGACATATCTTTCTATGAACCTGGGCACTTCGTGGTAAAACTACAGTCGACTTAGCACCCCAGTTGGGGTGCGAGGAAGGTAGGATCGAGGGGATTCATAAATATGGGACCTTCCGACAATTAGGGTTATTTTGGGGTCCTTATAATAAGGATCCTACTATATTAGGGTCCCCTATTTTCGGAAACCCCCATATTCTAGAGTCCACATAAAATATTGAATTCAAAGGCATATGGGGCATTCAGCACTGCAAAACTCGAGGATGCGAGCGCGCAAATGGTGGACTCCAAAGTGCTTGTGTCTTGCGACTGGCCTCACCTACTCCGCTTCGCCAGGGTTTTATGGTTTGCGGTTTAGCAGGCTTTCGGCTTTGCTCGAAAATTTTACGGCTCGCTTTGGAAAGCCTTATAGCAGCTCTCATTATAATTAGTAACCCTCAAGCGAACCCGTAAAGGGGACCCTATTATAGAGCCCTCTAAGTACTCTCAAAGTGCTCCCGATTATAGCACCCTATAGTACCCTTTAAGGCAAGGCCAGCAGCTTGAGACCTGAAGCCCGGCCCCCGCAAGCCAAAACACATGGCCCCCCAACACTCGGGTTTAGGGTTTTCTGGCCCCCCACACTGCAAAACCAGACCAAAACCAGACGGCTTGAGTGTAGTAGGAAGCCGAACACGATGAGGTATTTATCTTCCTTCAAGGGGTCTCTGGTTTCCTTAAGCCAAGCCAGGTCTCAAACCCCCTCCGAAACCCGCGAGAAGCCCTTGAATTTGAAGCAAAAGAACTTGGATAGGTTTTAGGGTTTAGGCCCCTCAAACCTTCTTATCCTGAGTTCTTTATGATGATCCCTGCTCAACCCCCCAACAGGTTGTTGGAGTCTCCGATTATTGGTCTGGTTACTTTCCTCCCAGCACTGCTGGTGGGTTTGGTATCATCATCAAATTAGTCTGCTTGAGGGGGGCCGAAAATGGAAGCGGTGGCCAGGGGTGTGGTAGATGCTTGGTTTGGGGGAGAACGAGGGGTGGAGGGCAGCGGGAAATTGAGAACCGGGATCAGAAGGTCCTGAACCCTAAAGCCTAAAGCCATAAACCGTAGTAGTAGTAGTAGTAGTAGTAGTAGTAGTAGGAGTAGTTGGAGTAGTAGTCGTGGCAGCAGCAGTGGGTGTCGGCCTTAGGGGTCGTTTGAGGCTTAGGATGAAGCCTGGGATCAGAGATCGGACCTTTAGGGCACCACCAGCACCACCACCACCACCACCACTTTTGTTGTCCTCTCCACCCAGGCTTCGCGGTGCAGGTGTCTGTTGAGGCAGCCAGGGCGTCCGCTTGGCATCGAGTGGTGGCTTGGAAGTTCCTAGAAGCTTCGGGGGGAGACCGGCTTTAGTGCTCCCTTTAAAGGGGAAGAACGAGAGGGTTCTTCGGGGAAGACTTGGGGGCTTTAGGGCTCCCTTAAAGAAGGGGCGACCTAGAGGGATTAGGCTTGAGGGTGTTCTAGGGTCTAGGCTTTGGGGTTTTCCAGATTATCTTGCAAGGTGCTGGTGCAGGAGATCTATCAGGGCTCTATATCATCTAGGGTCCCTTTCTTCTATATCAGGGATATGAGGATAATGGTGTTACAACTTTCCGGCTTCTGGTTTACGGGTTTCTAGTTTAACAAATCTTCATGGAGTTCCGGGACGGTTCAACAATGGCTTGGAGCAGTTCCAGGGCAGCTTGGAGGAATTTCTAAGAAAAGTTTCGCAGCTTTGGAGTTCGATCAGGGTTCGCTGAAGGGGTCCTAAACCCTAAACCCCAAACCGTTTGGGGTCTCTTCGTGGGGGGTCTGGGTTCGGTAGGGTTCGGTTTCCAAAGGCCCTCCTGGATGGTCTCCTGTGGCTGCATCGTGTTGTGTTTCCCGGCGGCTCCCCTAAACTAGGGGTTTAAGGGTTTAGGGTTTAAGGGTTTAGGGCTTAGGGGTTTAGGGTTAGGGTTTAGGGATAACTTTGACTTACCTACTAAGCCCCATGAGTACAGTTGAAGCATTTAGGGTTCAAGCGTCAGCTGTATTGTGGTCAGCACATGATGGGCTCTAGTTTCTGAGCCATGGGCTTGATTCAAGGCCGCAGTAGAGGTCCAGAGCCCTTCACCCCTGAACCCGAAACTCCACCACTTAACGGGCACCCTATCATAGAACTCCATTATCTCAGCACACTACAGCAGGTCCCAAGCTCCTTTTGTGTAGAGCCTAAACGCCATGACCGCAAAAGTCCAAGCCCAGAGCCCGAAAGACCCCTAAACCCTCAACCCTAAACCCCAAACTAAGACAACTGTAATCCTCGACCCCAAACCTTCAAAACCCTACTGGCATTCTTACGCAACCCTTACAGAACCCCGCCCCCCCTGTTGGAGCCCTCATGAAACCGATCCAAAACATGGACAACCGGCAAGGGAAAGCCTAAGCCCCTAAACCCCTAAACCCTTAAACCCTAAACCCTTAAACCCTAAACACTTAAACCCTAAACCCTTAAACCCTAAACATTTTAATCCCGATGAAAGACAAAGACGGACAAATTAGGTGGGGGTCGCCAGATTCGACGGCATTACCGTCGGAATCTTGCAGGATCTTTGCCGGCTCCAGCGGTTTTGGGTTTTAGGGCTTTAGGGTTTTAGGGCTTGGGGTTTAGGGCTTTAAGGCTTTAGGGCTTGGTGTTTCGAATTTTTGGGGTTTGGGGTTTCGGGTTTTCAGGCTCTGTGTTTAGAGTTTTGTGGCCAGTTCCCTTATTACAGTCTTTTCTTGTGTGGAGTGTAGGCTGCACCGGTGTTCTGGCGTTTCGCTTACACCCTAAACCCCAAAACATCAACTTGCATGCTGACACCGTGAAAATCCGTGGAATCTGAGCCCACAGGCCGCCAAGCACAGTGCTTTCCGTCAATCCTAAACCCTACCCTAGACCCTAAACCCTAAACCCTAAAGTAGGAGTACGACGGCGACGGCTGCATGGTGGCACTGCAGGGCGAGCTTAAGTCAGTGGCATGGGCCGCAGAGAAGGTCCGGCAATAGGGTTCGGATTAGGGTTTGGGGTTTAGGGGTTTAGGGTTTAGGGTTTGTTTAGGGTATATAGGGTTTATCGTTTGATAATGGTTTCAGGGTCCATGGGCCTCTGGTCTTTAGGGTTTAGAGCTGCCGGCTTCACGTTTACGGTTTTGGGCTTTTTGGCCTTCCGCTTATTTAGGCAGTTGCGAGTGCAGAGTTTCCGGGGCTTTTTGGCGGCTTCGGCTTGAGGGCAAGGGGGTTTTCAGGGAACTCACTCTTTATTCCATGAAGCTTGAACACTATAAAGCCCAAACCCGAACCCATGCTCCAAACCTGAACTTAGCTGCTCGTTGTTTTTGTGTAAGTGCTCAGCTCAGGCATTCATGGTGGAAGTTCTGATGGCCATGTCCGATGCCATGAACCGTGGCTCCCATGACATGTGGATAGCAGCGAGGTGGGGGGGGGTGGTTCAACGAAAGCGCGAGTCCATTAAACTGGTTTGGTAATTCAATCTCTAGGGCATAGCGGCAGGAGATTTCTGAAGGTCAGGGCTCTAAGTTATGAATTTCATTTCACCTTTTTCTGTGAGAAAATCCTAAACTCACAGAAACCAAAAACAACCTAAACTTCCAAACCTTAAGCCGCAACTGCAGCAGGTATGTCAATTTCAGATACCGCTATGCCACATGGACAGTGACACAGACAAGCAATGGTCCCGATGCCAAGGCCTTTCATCGATTCTTGGCTGGGACGATGAAGTATGGATAGCTGTCGATGGTAAAGTTCACCCCCTTCCCTTTGCGTTAACCTTTTGTCATTGCGCAAATGTGAATCTGTGCCCTTATCGGAGTTTCCGATGGTCGGCGTGGGGCTTAAGACTTCGGGTTCCGGATTTGGGGTTTGAGGCTTTAGGGTATACAGGGTTCGGGTTTATGGTGTAAGCTCAGGCTGTGTTTGTGCTGCTCTTTCATGGCAACCGGGTCTTGGCGATGCCTTACGAGATCACTTGGAACGGCTTCTCGACGGTTGGGCATCGGGCAGCGCTGAGAAACTGCGCAACGACGCCAAAGCATTGATTTGAGCAACAAAAGGGGTCCTGTAACGGCAGGGATTCCAAAGTGTCAATTCTATAAGTGCTTATCTTGCCGTGGTTGTCTCAAAGCTAATTATATGATACATAATTGGAACTTTTCTTATGAATATAAGATAATCTTCTTTTTATTTGATGTTTTTTATTGAAATCGTCTTTGTTGCCAGCTAAGTATTTACGATATTATTATGGATATGTAATATCTCATTAGACTGACGATATTTTTTTATGTCATTTTTGTTCTTGTTTATTTTTATATATCTTTATGAAAAATCGAATCGGAGGGAGGGGGGTGGATTTGAATACATATATATATATATTGGGAGATCTCGGAGATTTCGAATTATGATATGATTCTTCTATCTTATTATTTATTTAAATTTCGAGCCTTTAATTAAAGATAATTCAAGATCTTAATATAAGATATTCTGGTATCTCATAAATTTGATTCGGAATTTGGAAGGAGACTATTAAAGATTTTATTAAAATTGAAATGAGATTATTAAGGATTCTATTAAAATTGAAATAAGTCGAAATATATATTCTAATTTTTTAAATATATTTTTTGATAGCCTTAAATAATTAATTTAATATATTTTCGGCAAGAAATTTGGTGGTTTAGGGAAGGACTTGTTTTTTAGATTTATTATCTGAAATTAAATATATCCATAAATCTCGGAAAATATATTTATATTTGGGATTTCAAGAGCTTAAAAGATATTTAGATAAAAAAATCTAGATATATATATCGAAATATTTATTTTATTTAACTTTAGAAATTAAATCGAAAGATTTTCGATAGGTATTTCGTCGTAAAAGGAGAATATTATTTCTGAAGATTTATTGGAAGAAGAAAAAAATAAAGGAAAGATAATTTGGAGGAATTTTTCTCCGAACCAATAATGAATCTGGAATTTTTTTTGGAAGATATTGATTATTGGAAGTCACTTTGGAAGCCCGCCTCGAGCATCTTCCGGAAATTTGGGCCGGAATTTGTTTCTAGGCCTTGATCTGTCCAAATTTTTATTTCGAAGAAAGATTTTGGATATCTTATTATTTGGAAAATTTATATTTTATTAGATTATTATTTTATATCAATAGAAATAGTTAAATCGAGAGCATATTTCAAAATTTGTTTAAAAAGAAAATTTCTTAATATATTGAGAAACTATTTCTGAAAAAAAATATTCAAATAATATATTGATTATAGAAATTAATTTTCATAGAAATTTGGAGATTATATTTAAAGAATTCTCGTCATTTTCTTATTTATTATTCCTATAGTTCTTACAGACTCATTTCGCCTTTAGATTCATCCGTCCGGAATCTTAAAGTAATAATATTTTAATATGAATTCCTCCACTAGACAGGTCATATAAAATATATGTGCTTACTCCTTATCCTCCGCATAAAAATATATGAAATTCGGTCCGATTCTCATGAAAAGGCTTTTCAGATTAAAAATCTTTAGCAGATTCCTCATGCTTTATTATATGTTGCTATAGATACTAAGTATATCTGCTCAGAAGCTATATAGCGATAAGATCAAAGACACTTAGGCCATCGCCGCTTGAAAATAATTATGAAAAATATTCTCGACTCGAAACTTTCGAACTATATATGAATTATCTCCCATATAATCTCTTGAAGAATAACGGAATATTTCAATACATCATTTTTCTTATGTAGGCTAGTGACATGATTTCTACGTCGTTTTAGAAATAGAACAGTAATAGATTTATTTCAGTTCCGAAAGAGGTCCCCAGGCTCTTCTGGAGAAGATATCTATAAGGAGGAAGATGAAGGATTGGGTTTCGTAGCATCTTCAAATCAATAATCGGATTATCGACCCGGTGCAATTTATATTTGGCGATCAGATTCCAATCCGACTATAGATTTATGAGATATATATTAGGATTTTATCATCGTATATGTGAATTAGATATAATATTTTACGACATATGAATTAAAATGGATTTTCGATCTCTAAAATCTTCATATTTTCATAAGAAAAATAGTTATCATTTTTCTATGAGATATTTTTCATAGAGCAATTTCTCCCCTGACAAAACCATATAAATTTCATATAATGATATTTCTTGTCTTCTATATAAATATACAAATAAATGCGATAAGAATTTTATTTTTCTGATATATAGAATATTTAAATCTATTTCATAATGAATTATTATTATTATATATATATATTGAATTTTTCATGAAATATTGATTTTTTATTAATATAAGAG